AAAAAAAAAAAAAAAGAAGGAAGAAAGAAAAAATATCTCAAATCAATAAACTAACTTGACACCTTATGGCTCTAGAAAAAGAATGAACTAAACTAAAAGCTAACACAAAGAGGGAAGTAAAGATCAGAGTCGAAAGAAATAAAAATAGATCATGGAAAAACAATTCTGAGATCAATGGAACCAAAAGTTAGTTTTTTGAAAAAAATCCATTTGACAAACCTTTAGCTCGACTCACTCACACACACACACACACACACACACACACACACACGAGAAGATGCAAATAATCAAAATTAGAAATGAAAGCAGAGATATTACTTCTGCACAAACAGAAATAAGAAGCAATATATGAGAATACTGTAAACAATTGTACACCAAAAATTGGATAAGCTAGATGAAATGGACAAATACATAGAAACACACAAATTACATCAATTGACTCAAAAAGAAATTGAAAGTCTTACCACATATATAACCAATGAAAATATTTAATCCAAACTTCTCCACAAAGAAAAATCTAGAACCAGATGGATTCACTGGTGAAGTCTTCTAAAGATTTAAAGAAAAACTAATATCAATCCTTCTCAAACACTTCCAAAAAAATCAAAGAGGAAGGAATACTTCCTTATTCAGATGCCAGCACTACCCTAATGACAAAGCCGTATTAAGACATGAAAATAAAAAAATAAAAATCAATATCCCTCACGAGTATCAATGCAAAAATCTTCAACAAAACACTAGGAAACCAAATACAACACAGTATATATCATGACCAAGTAGAATTTGTAACAGGAAGGCAAAGATTGTTCAACATAAGCAAATCAAATCAATCTAACACCTTACATCAGTGGAATCATTATCTTAATTGGTACAGAAAAGGCATTTACAAACGCCAATACATTTTCAGGATAAAAACTCTCAGAACTAAAAACAGAGCCATAGTTTTAAAAAAATAATTCCCAGAAAATGAGGAATAGAGGGAAGATTCTTCAACGTAAGAAAGGCACTTATGAAAACTCACAGCTAACATCATACTGAATGGCAAAACACTGAAAAGTTTTCCCACAACTTTACAAACAAGTCAAAAATGCCTGCTTTCACCAGTGCTATTCAACATTGCGCTGGAAGCTTCCTTCTATTTTTTTTTTTTTAACAGGGTCTCACTGTGTTGTCCAGGCTGGAGTACCACTGTACCATCATAGCTCACTGCAGCCTCGGCCTCTGGGGCCGAAAGTCACCCTCTCGTCTCAGCCTCCTGAGGCTGATACCACAGGAATGTGCCACCACATCTGGGTAATTTTGGTTTGTGTAGAGATAGGGTTTTGCCATGTTGCTCAGGCTGGTCTCAAACTCCT